GGGGGCGATATGCTGACTCTGTAAACCGCTTAGAGAGGGCTGAAAGCCCTATGAAGCGGTATATAAGTCTAACTGCTATTGCTATTGCTACCTTGAAATAAAGCTGGGTACTTCCAGTTTTATATTGTTGATTCTGTCACTGAGCACATTACAGGTTTTTCTTTTTCTGGTAAAGAATTTCACTTTTTTATTATTATTTTTTTACTTTGGCGTTGTTTTTTCTTCACCACAAGAGCTGCTTCTGGGTGTTGCAGGGCACATTAAACACTGCTACGTCCAGGTGGAGCTAATGAAAAATGGAGCTTAATCATTGGCTTCTTCCTCCGAGTCTGTGATGAGCGAACCAAGGTATTGGACACAAGTTTAGCGTTCTTTCCGAACAGTGCTAAACCTGTATTTGGAGAGAGTAGCAAGCACAGAACATGGCGACGTCATCACCTGTCCATTGAATGACTTGGGGGGGGGGGGGGGGCTAAACCAGCTTCTGTGTCTTCACTTATCCATCTCCACCCATTTAGAGCAAGGAAACCCTCAGTTGGAGAGAAATGAAGGTGGGGGGAATATACCCATCACCGTTCTTCATTGAACTCATGAGGCAGAATAGGGATCACCGGAGGGCAATACAATTGATTCCAGTTTATATTTTTTTTCTGGATTGGACGGGCATCATGTTTTTATATGCTTTCTGGCTGTTCCTCAGTTAGAAAATTGGAAAAAGTACATGATGCTATAAAAAGGTCTGTGAATATGCAGTTCAAGAGAGTTGCAAACTCCATTTACTTCTTTATGTTCACTTGGTTTATTTTTTTATTGTGTCATTGGGTTTATTTTGTTGTGTTATTGCATAAAAGCAGGATGTAAATCTAAAAATAAATACCATATTGGGCCTGAAAACACAGTGTGTATTTTGCACAGAAGAAAAAACTGACTTCTTACCCTTTCAATCATCTTAACATACTTTTATTCCTGAGCAGAATAAGCTTTAAAAATAACAAAGGTGTGAACGTATTTTTAAAGTACGTACATGTAAAAATGCTCTCTTCACCTCAATGCTAGCTCATTTTAACTTGTTAATATTTAAAAATGCTTGAAGTACTATGTTAAATTAACCTTATACATAAATAAATATGCTTCCTCTTGAAGCAGAAACATCTGTCATCTTGTAACCACATCATATAAAGATTAGTAATTTCTTGACATTGCTGATCCTGTTTTTTTTATATATAACTCGTTGAACTGTATTTAACTCAAGCACAGGCTAGCTTCAAACTAGAGAAAAAATGTCTCCAATTCAAATTCCTCTGAAATTAACTGTAAAATACAGACATCTTGCTGAGAAAACCTGCATTATTTTGGAGATTGGTTTTAGAAGATCACCAATCTGCTTTGTAATTGTTGATACTCCAATATTCAAGGATATGTTGGTCTGTTCCCACATATGAAAGTAGCAACTAGCAAAATAGTTACAAGAAGAATGCACATAATCCAAACTATCATTTGCCAATTCGTTCAAAAACTGGAAAGAGTTTTTCCCATCAGCAATTAAAAAAATAAGCAAGCAGCAATTGCTAACAAGTCTTGTTAAAGAAAACTCCTGCTACTTTTATAACTGGTAAAGTTCCACTTGCTAGAAAAATGACATCCAGTCATCCCATCTGTTAGCTGGGTGATAGGCAATTGGTGATCAAAGAAAAACTTTGTCTAGGGAAAAGGTTCTAGTGCTGCATTGGATTTTTCCCTGTGCTAAAAGAAACAATTCTGTAAATTTGATGTAGTCCAATAATACTTAGCAACATTACTTATAAAATGCACAACCTTGAGTTGTTCTCAGTGGTGGGATTCAGCCAGTTCACACCTATTCAGGAGAACCGGTTGTTAACTTTCTAAGCGGTTTGAAGAACTGATTGTTGGAAGAAATATCATTTTGTTTTTTTCCACTTTACAGGGCTAATTCTGTAAGGAAGGCAGGAAGGGGTTGTTTCTAGCCTAATCCTTGCTTACAGAAACTGCCTCTCTGGTTAACCCTTATTACATTGCAACACTCATGCTCATTGACGTGAGTGACATTGAGTTGGCCATGCCCACCCAGTCACATGGCCATCAAGTCCCGCCTACCCAGTTGGTCATTAGGGCAGAGAACCGGTTGTTAAATTATTTGAATCCCACATCACTGGGTATTCTTCTTTTAAGAAATATTTTGTTAATTTTTTGTTGTTGTTGTTCAAACTGCTAGAACTATTAGCTTAATGCTAACATTAAGGAAATGCTAACATTTCCCCTTTTCTGAATTTTTAAGCAGAATATATTACAAGGTTTATGTTTTTCCTTCCTACTTAATTCTTCTTAATCAACTTGTTCCCTTTTTTCTGTAAACCACAGGCCATTCTTTAGAACCAAGGATATGAACTACTTTCCTTAACTACATCAAATTTAATCAACCATTCTGTAGCTTTTGTTTGATTGCTTCATTTGAGCCACTCCTTCCTCTTTGTCATTTGAAGACTTTCAATTCTCCCTGGGCTTAGTCCGAAAATATCTGCTATCTGATTGGTCATTCAAAAAGCTCTGAAATTTCCCTAAAAGAAAATTGTAAATGTTTGTCCATTTAAAAAAATATGGTCTGTTCAGTTTTTATGTTGAATTGGAATGCAAGTTGAAGAATGCCAAGCAGGGCTGGGCTGCTGGGGGTTCGCAGAGGTTTCTAGCTGTGCAGTTCGCAGAACCCCCAAATCCCACTTCTGGCTGGCCTCGCCCACCCCACTCCTCTCCTCCCAGGAATCCCCACGTGGCCCGTTTTGGATGCAGGTTAAGTGCAGGGCATGCGTGGATGCTTGGGGAGGGCAAACAACGGGCCTACCAGAACTTTGGGAATGCCGGAAATGGGCTTGTTCTGGCCTCCAGAGGGCCTCCGGAGCTCGGGGAGGTCATTTTCACTCTCCCAGAGGATCCAAGAAAGCCTCCAGAGCCTAGGGAGGTCAAAAAGCCCCCTCCTGTGGTGCAAGAAGCCAACTAGGCCATGCCCACCCAGCAACCGGGCAGAGAACCCCTTACTAAAAGTTCTGAAGTTCATCCCTGATGCCAAGTGTAACTCAGCAAACCATTCAATGGAAATGAACTGCAGCGTTGCAGACTTCCCTAAAATCATGAATCAGACAGTGACAGGTGTGTACTATAATAAAACCCTGCTTTTTTCAGAGAACAGTCATCAACACAGTGTATTACTCATGCATGACTGGTATCAAACAGAATATTAGTCAACGGGTGTTTGAAAAGATCGAACGTAAATAAAAAGCACAATATTTGTCCATTCCCAGGAAATTAAAGCCATTTGTTTGCAGCTTTGTGCATTGGTCCAAGGGTGCAAATATCTCCTTATCTCCTTGCACTATAAAATGTCTTCCAATTACCTTTTCAGTAATCCTTTCTGAAGCTGCTTTTTTTGAAAGACAACAAGAGAGACTCACATAAGACTGCTATGGTAGCAGAAGCAATCAACAAGAGTTTGAAATCCCTGAAGTGCTTTCTACGAGTATTCCAGTAGTAATTGATGTAGTATATGAACAGTAGCCATTCAGGTGAGGAAGGAAAAGGGGTTGCAGGCCTTCAAACAGAAAGGTAAGGAGGAAAACTGGTACCGTGGACGCTGTTTAAATAGCTGAAAGAAACTTTCCGTATTAATGTAAGGTGATGATGCCATCAGGAACCTTTGCAAATGTCTTGGGAGCAGAAGACAAAATTCAGCACTGCAGAAATGGATTTGCCTTGGGGGAAGTGTTGCATTGATCCTCCACAACCCTATGAAAATAGCTGTATCTTTAAGGAGCTCCAGTGGGGCAGGGGATTTTGACCTGGCGGAAATGGATATGCAGTGGCAAAGAAACATTATTGGATATAATTCTTTGACAGGCTCAGAGTAAGCTCCCTTTGGAGTAGCACTTCTGCCTTTCAGAACAAGTCAGTGTGTATAGATTGGAATCCCCAACCCCACTACACCCCAAAGTGTCCTCAGGAAGATAATTCATCTCTTCCCCTGGGTGCAATCTTTTCACTGATGGTCATTTTGGAGACCTCGTAGAGCAGAGGTCTTCATATTTGGCAACTTCAAGACTTGTGGACTTTAACTCCCAGAATTCTCCTGCCAGCATAGTTGGCTGGAGAATTCTGGGAGTTGAAGTCCACAAGTCTTAAAATTGCGAGGTTTGGGGACCCCTGTCATAGAAGAAGAGCACTATCTGCCATTCCAATCTACTTTAGAAATTTGGAACATCACAAGCAACTCGCACACGTTTCCAGCTAAAAAGTTTAGTTTCTACTTAAATAACCATTACCAGTTTCTCCCCGGCACCCAGGGGTGATATGCTACCAGTTCGGACTGGTATGCCTGAATCGGTAGTAAAAAAATGCTACTGGTTTGGGTGAACCGGTATTTCCGACGATCAGCTGTGATGTGCGATTTATATTGGCTAGAAAGCAGGACTTCCTGCTTTCTAGCTAATCTAAATCATGTGGCATAGTGGACTCCCCCCCTTTCTGTTCTACTTACCTTTGCAGGGACACTCAGTAGCAGGATCCACCCACCCACCCACCCGTCCATTTTTGACGCTCAGCGCATGCACGGAGGTGGTGCGTGCCCTCACATTTGCGACCCAGTAGCGAAGCTAAGTAGATTTCACCCCTGCCGACACCCAATTGACTACAAAACCCAAGCGTTCCACTAAAATCAAACGATTGTCCCAAAATTATTTTACAAGCCAAAAATGAATGGATTTTTATAGGAATTCATGGCTTACAGAGAACTAAACTTGGTCTCCTGAAGGCAGGACAGAGTTTTTATGGGTGAGGCTCTCATGCAAGAATCTTTCAAGGAATTTGAAGTGAAGTGACCCTTGGAATTCATGTAACTCAAGATCTTTCTTCCTCCTCTTGATAGTATCTGTCAATTACATCTGAATTAAAATAGACTACTGTAACCGTAATATCATCCCTATACATGCGTGCTAAGTCATCGGGAAGAGTCAACATTGCCATTAGCTTTTCCTGGTCTATCTCTCCATACTCATTACTGCCAATGGCATGTCTGATAAGGTGGGTTGCCACATTCTGGTCAGAGGGCTGGGCAGTCTGGGCCTTCCTCCGAAGTAGCAAGTCTTGTACATACCCCAGACTGGTTGGTTTCTTAAAAGTGAGCTGAGTTTTCTGGACATCATCTTCCATTATATGGTTTGCAACGAGCTGGACCACCTCTTCATTGCTCAACATGTCCCACAGGCCATCAGAAGCAAGAACCAAGAACTTATCCTGCCGCCTGATTTTGTGGTAAGTGACCTCTGGCTCAGCTGTTAAATAAGGTGGGGTGTGGTAACACGGAGGGACATACTCGTAGATGTTTAAATCCTCCAGGTTGCAGTGGTTGTTAAGGATGCTCTGCTGCAGATCCTGACTCCACTTGAACATGACGTCTCCAAAAGCTCTGGTAGGCATAAGGACGCCCAGCAATCTGTCGTTCATAATGAGGGTGCTCCCTTCAGAAGATGGGTGCGCGCCTTTCAACCGCGAGATTTCCGACACATTGAAAGCGTTGTGATCTCGGGTAAGGGGTAAAGCAGACCAGGAGCCATTGGGGTTCTGAACGCCCAGGATCACCCGGCAGTCCCCAGCATTTGCAACATGCAGGTGAGCCTGGTCAACATGAGCTAAGCAAGCCGTTGCGCCCGAGAAAGCCACCTGCAGAGCGATATCTTTCAGAAGTTCGTTCTTGGAAGGTGCCTGAGCTTCCAACGATATGTCTGAATCCAGCCGTTTATAAGCACCGATCAAAGCTTCTTCCATCGTCAGCCCAAGGTCTGCGTCCGAGTTCAGTAAGTCTTGCCAATAATATCTGAGCTGTTCCAGGTACACGGAGGCAACCTCGTGGAAGAACCTGTCGTTGGGGTGTTTGTGCCACTGGAGAATAGGCAGAATCGGCTTCATAGATTCCACAGCCATCTCAATCTCTTCCAGCGTTTGCCGAGACAGCAGAGAAACGGCAAGGTAAGAGAACAGCCTCTCGCTAACCGACTGAGCACAGGAATAGCCAGCATGGCCATCAAAGACTCCAAACATCATTCCCCTCGTCTGCAAACAGGTTGCTGCACTTCGGCGGTCTTCTATCGGCACATTGGCTGCCAGGTGGTTGGACTCGAATTTCAATACTGGGCTGGGATTTTTCCCATCAAATTCAGGGACGGTGTAGGACAACTCGCTCGCCCTTAAGACCTCGTTGATCTGCGATGGTGTCAAATGGAAGGAGAAGTCTTCTTCCTCAGTGGAGGTGTGTCGGAATGCTTTTCCCAGGGGGAAAGGGTGGTGATTGATCTTGCAACTGCAGCTTGCTGGGGACCAACCTAAACGACCTTTGGCAAACAGATTTTTCCATGCTTGATTTTGGGAGATAATGTATCTGGAGTAGAGGCGTCCTCCTCTTCCAGGCAAAGTGGCAACAGCAGATCTTGAAATAATAACCCAGCTAGGCATAATGCCTATCATACAATTCCTTAGACTTCCAATCAGCAGGTTCTGGAAAGTCTACAGGTAAAACAAAAACATAATTAAAGGAGAAAACAGGAAGATTGCATAATCTCTACAGCAAAAGGGTTGACCAAATTATTTTCTACCAAGAGGCTCCCGAAGACATAATCGCTTATGATTGTTCTCAATAATAATTTTGTCTGCATAGGCAACTTACACTCATCAATCTGGCAACATTCACATGGAAGAAATTAAACAATATGTCTGGAATCTTAACAGGGGTCAGCAGTAGGACACTTTCATAATTGCAATATCCCTTCTACTTGGAAACCACTTCTGGACTTTATGCTTGAGGGGGAAAAATGAAAGTTTGATTTTGGGTTTCCCCAATCAGATAGGATTGCTATTATAGAAATGGCTAGTATATATTATTATGTAAAAATAAAAAGTTGAGGTTCGATGTTATTAACTTATTCTATTGTTCCATAAGGAGTCGAAAGTCAATGTTTTCTGTTTCTTTTAGCTTTTACCCTCTTCCTCTTCCCTTTCTCGTCCTGTTCCCCATTATTTTCATTTTTCTTTGTATTTCTGCATTTTACGTTGTGATTAATAAAATTTGCCATCTTCAAGATTTCATAACTGCAGCCTCTCAAAATAGCCTACACATCCTTACAAAATTCAGTATTTTTATAATTTTCAAAAATGATAATGGTAGAAATCTTTTGAGACAGATTGCTCAATCTTTTGAAGCTTTGGGCTTTTCTTACATAATTTCTGGTAATGGTATGTTGGAATGACCTTGAAGAAAAGAGGAAGAGCCACAGCCTAGACCAGGGGCATCAAACTCAAGACCCAAGGGCCGGATTCGGTCCGCGGGGTGCATAGATCTGGCATAATGGTTATTTAAGTGGAAACTAAACTTTGTAGCTAGAAATGTTTGTGAGTTGCTTGTGATGTTCAAAATTTCTAAAGTAGATTGGAATGGCAGTGCTCTTCTTCTATGACAGGGGTCCCCAAACCTCACAATATTAAGACTTGTGGACTTCAACTCCCAGAATTCTCCAGCCAACTATGCTGGCAGGAGAATTCTGGGAGTTAAAGTCCACAAGTCTTGAAGTTGCCAAGTATGAAGACCTCTGCTCTACAAGGTCTCGAAAATGACCATCAGTGAAAAGATTGCACCCAGGGGAAGAGATGAATTATCTTCCTGAGGACCTGGAAACAGTGAAGGACTG